AGAAGGGTGCGCCAGGAAGCAAAGAAAGCCAAAAGCTTTTTTATGGAGAATTTCCTTGGAAATACTCTTCAATTCTATAAAAATGTCATGAGCCATATGAAGAGAATTTCCGTCATGGACTAGGAAGGACCAGAGCCTGGATGCAGATGAGACAGTCAAGGGCTACTGAGTAGAATGGATGTGACACTGGACAGAAACCTTAGAATAGAAGACTATTTTCATGTAAGCCCAAAGCCAAATACAAGGTGAGGTGGCCAGTGGGCTTGCTCAGGATTCAGTAGGTGAGAGAATGACCATTTACCCACACCCCCAGGACAACCCTTCAGCACCAGGCATTTGATGGACTTGATGGATACAGAAAACATTTGGAGACATTTAGTCCAGGTTGAGAAAGCTGGTCGGTAAACTGGCTATTTGGCAGCCATTTTCTCATGCGCATATGGATCCTCAAGGTTTTCTTCCTATATTGATACAGTGCTATAAGTGAAGATATACTGAGAGAATTCTATACAAAGTAAAACATATCCACCTTTAAATGTAAACTTGGGGGTCACAGTGTGGTGGAGAACATCTGCAATTCCAGCAGAGCAGCTGTGGAGGGAAGATTGTGAGGACCTAAGCCAGTCTGGGTCACACAGCAACTGCAAGTCCAGCCAGGGATACAGAGTGAAGTTCTGCCTCCACAAAAGTCAAGATCAATGCAATAAGATAGATAGGCACCTTGAGACTGGAAACTGACCCAAGAATAAAGATATACCAAAGGAAGTTACTGGGTTAAAAGCAAAACAAACAAACAAAAACCAATTGCAAGTTAGTAATCTGTCCACATCTCTTCCTACTTTCCAGTGCCTTAGATGCATCAGTCCACTATCTCTTGCTTCTTCAATCCTATCCTCTCCTCATCACTCTCCTTCTCCTCCTGTCTTCTCTTGTTTCTTCATTCCCATCCTCTCCTCTTCACTCTCCTTCTCCTCCTGTCTTCTCTTGCTTCTTCATTCCCATCCTCTCCTCTTCACTCTCCTTCTCCTCCTGCCTTTGAGGAGCAGGTTTTATTAGACCACCGAGCCACAGAGTCTGAGCATGACTTCCACCCAGAGGAAGAACTCTTGCACCCTATGTCTGTGCGAAGGGCCCCTGCCACCAGAGCGCTGCTCTGAGCGCTGTCATCACGCCTCTCACTAGTCACAGCCTGCACGGTATCTGGACATTCTCGGTGGCGCAGGCAATGCTCTTTGCTGCTGTTGCTGAAGCAGCTGCTCATTAAGCTGACAGATTCTCAAAGTCCTGTTAGGATTTGTCTATTCTGTTTCCAGAAATCAGCTCGGATAGGAGTAGGAGGACAGATGATTTCATAAACCTAAACAAAAATGAAAAGCACTTTTCATTTTGAGAAGTGTGCTCATTTCAAATAAAAGTTGACTTGAGTTTTTGTATTTAATTCACACTTACTGACAATGCAACCTTTTCATTTCTTCAACTGTATTTTTCTTTAAGTACATCTTTTGTCCCACGCTAACAATGTCTAACAATGTTTCTTCGAAGATCAGAAAAACCACATGGACAATGCAAATACAAAAGATAGCCACAATAGGCAAGGTTGGTGGGCCAATGGACCTCCATCATAAGTAAATATGGATCTGCTCACTGCCAATTTGTAGCCTATGTGATAGTTTAGAGTAATAATTATGATCATTTAACTGGAACACAGTACCTCACATGAGCAACTGCAATGAAAAGGAAGGGAAAGTGTGATTTAAAGAAAACAATCCGTAACACAAACAAGATAAGAGCGCAGACGTAACAGCAAGGCCACTTTTGCACTGCATCTGTGCTCGCCCACTGCAGACTGGGAGACAAAAAGATTGAGACGTTTGCACAAAGGCAGCTAGACAACAAGATCAGAAAAGCAACAAGCAACGTGAGGATGGCAGGATGGAGGCACTGCGAGGGTGGCTTAGAAAGCTTGGCTTCACAAATAATAAGTTTAACTCATTCCGTGTTCAATGTTTGATCAAAGTACAGAATGGACCAGCCCATCCAAAATGTCATCGACCCTATCAAATAGAGAGAGGTGATGTTTTAATAATATTTTATCAAGTCTGAAGCATTGGGGTTTTATAAAAGGCATGTATGGTTTTGTATTTTTTAAACAGACATCTTAAGTCAAGACTATTTTTTTTTAATGCTACTTCCACAGGACAGTAATAAAAAGTCATAGTGATAATATTTGTGAGCACATTTGAAAAGTGCTCAGAAAGCATGAATTAGTTTGTCTTTCTTCATGCAAGGGGACATTTTCTTATTTTAAGCACTACTGTTTCCCTTTGCTTATACTCCAGCCCTGTGGCTATGACAGAATAGAAGAATGTACATAGTGTATACAACTTTCACTTTCCAAGAAAAAATAAGCTCCGGATGCCCACATTCTAAGCTTTACTTCACAAAGATGAAATGTATACATTTATGGATATCGATATACATTTGTAAACACTGTAAGTAATCAAAGAAGCAAAAAATCAGTCTATACACTCGGGGTTCTGAAGAAATGTAGCTGAGTAACTTGGTCACTCCCAAACAATGACCAGAGGCCGTCATTCTCAGTTTGAACTGATAGAAAGATTTCTTACTATCCCTAATTAATCAGACTCTCACATATTTTCATTCTCAAATGATCAGAAAACCTCAAAAGGGAAAAATACTATCACATATTACATTGATACACTAAAAAAAATGATAGTTTGTCTCACACATTAATTTTGTTTAGAGGGGGCAAGATTTAATCCATCTATATCATTCTTTTTGTTTATTTAGGTGTTCAGTTTGAGAATTGCCTGACTATGTAGCCCAGGTTGTCCCCAGATTCATGATCCTCCTGCTTCAGGCTCTCTGAGTGTTGGGATTACAGGTGTGTAGTCCCAAGCTTGTTTCACTTCCGGTCTTGAGAGGCAGATTTTCTCACTCATATTGTTTAACTGTGGGAACACTCCTTGAACCACACGGCAGACGTCCATCATTCTCCTCACTGGTGTCTGCTAATGTGAATGATAAACGAAGCATGTTTTGTAAGAAAAGACAAATTAAATTTCATCATCAACTCCTTTCTGTCTTCATCACATCTTCTCATCTTTTTGGTATTTCTCGACCACATGCCTTGGTTTATTGGGCTACAGTCATTATTTACTGTAGTGAATAAATTTCTAGAAGTCAACTTTCATCCTTTCTGGATCAAGGTTAGTTGAAAGAAAATTTATTAAATAAAGGATTAAATGACTCAAAAAATAACAAATCATCCATAGTTGTATTCTAGGAAGTGTACCGAGGGAGTGACCAGCAGGCTCAGTCTCCCACACCTGAAAGCTGTATGTGTTCAATTATAATAAACATTTAAAAGCAAAACCTTGTTGCACAATTAAAAAAAAAGCTTTAAAGCTCGTAGACTCTGAATCTCTCTTGCAATTTATTTAAAGAGCTTATAAAACCCTGGTGATTCTCTCCCCTAACCAACAGCCTGCTGTAGGCATGGGGCCAGCAGAGCAGAGAAACCGCCTAGAAAACTTGATTCTCTCCAACAGTCACTCAGCTAACACATAAGGAAAACAACCTAATTACTGGACAGCAGGAACAAGAAAATAAAAAGTATGGAAGGGCAGAGAAGCATTAAATACAAACACACAAAACTGTCTTTGCTGTGAGAAAGAAGCCAGCCTAGATCCTGAGGGTAGCCATTCAAAACAGCCTTGGTGTTTGCGGAGCGTATGAGAAGAGCCAAGGACCAGAAAAACTACTAATTTTAATTACCAGGAAAGCTGTAAGACTGAGAGCAGAGAGCTCCAGTAGTATCTGGCTTCCAGCTACCGTCTCTGCGCGCCTTGCCAATTACAGCCTTTCGTAGCCCACTGGGGGCAAAAGCCGTGCGCAGAGGATTCATTGCCCTGAACGCAGGGTTGGACAGGACTCATACACGTGTGAACAGCGTGTACCTCTTGGTACAGATGCAGCCCATGGCTCATGCAGAGTTCTGAGTGTAGACAGGCTGGCAGAGAAAAGAGTGTGTGTGTGTGGTTTCCAGCCTTGTGACATACAGGTGCAAGCCACATGGAGTTGGAGGCAAAATGTATGTAACAGAATTTATTTCATAAATACTCAATTACCACCAGACACATGAAACTGGAGCACTCAAAGACAGGGAAAGTCCAGAAATCAGCAGATCAATGACACTAAAGCTGCCACCTCGGATTTACAACCTGAGCTATTTTTTCCAAATATGAGCATTGTGATAGAAAATTTCAGGAAACAAAACAAATAAACAAACAAGAAGCTAAACCTGCTATTTCTTTGACTGTTCCAGAACTGGCTTTAAACCACCACCACCACCCCATCATCATCGACAAGTAGTAATATAGCCCCAAGCCCATCGTGGTGGTTAGATCGAATTCACATGCATACACAAAAGAGAATTGCCTCCCAGTTAGAACCTAACCACACTCTCTCAAGTGCCAGCTCCCCTCTGGAGCCCGCATAAGTGTGCGCCTGGGTCTGAGCCTTCGCTGCTGTCTGAGCTATCAGCACAGCCTGGCTATCAGCAGGGACAGCAGCAGGACAAGGGAGGAAAGGACCCAGAGTCTGACAGCTCCGGGGCATCCTACAGGCAGCACGTTCGCTGTCACTGGTGAACGTGAAGCATCCAGAGGTGGCCAGGTAGGGGTAAACAGCCTTCCCGACTTTGGAGAGAAGGTGTGAGGGGGCGGGGGACGGTACTGCCTGGCCAGTGATGCAAGTGGAGTACCATGTGAAAAAGAAAGAAATCCAAAGCCCTGCTTGAGGCACACAGTCTTTTACAGGCGGGGACATGCTAAATGAGCCTTTGCAGCGCGAGGCAGCGAGGCGCCTGGCGACGGTGACAGCGCGGAGCGGGAGGGGCGCGGGCCGCTCCTGGAGGGACCCAGCCAGTCAGGGCGCGCGGCACGGGGCGCGTGGACGCATTGGAGCATTCGCGCGAGCCTGGAGCAGCAGCGGGAGGAGGCGCCCACCTGCACCTGCCTGCATCTCCCAACTCCTCCGCCCCGTGCAACTGCCGGCAGCCAAGTGCCATTAAACCCGGTGGCCAGGAGGATACCTCACCTGGGTCCCCTCTGCTGGGAGAGGCAGGGCAAGCCTGAGGAGATTTCCCAGTGAAGGACTCAGAACTCTGCGATTTCTCTTCTGCCACAGGCTGAGAAGCACCCAAGGAACTGCTCCATCTGAGCTGCGCCCAGAGCAGGAGGATGGGAGAGCGGGATTGAGAGTGCCCGAAATGGACAGAGGCAGCTGGGATCTCATTGGTAAGTGGCTGGCATTCCTTCGCTGGCTGGTGACTGCTCCCTGTGATGGTGCACTTCGGCTCCCAGCCACTTAGGGTTTTTGACACAGTCGCTTCTGCAAAGCCATCCTTCCTTGCTGTTGCCAGAGGTAAAAACTGTCCAATGATGCTTGTTTAAAGATGGGAAAATAGTATTTTTCTCTGCTGGGATTTTATATTGAAAAGTTGAAGCAAGTATAAAATCTATTTGTGTATCTCATAAGGCCGCCCGAAACAAGAGGAAAAAATGGAGCAAGTAAATTTAGGGATGGCACATGCCGGGATGGATAAGAATGATTTTCACTAAAGCAGTACAATGTTTAAGGAAGAAAAGGAAATAGAATGAGGTTCTCAGGTCATGGCTGAGCATCTCATAGACGGAACCATCTAAGAATAGAGACTAAATCTAGTGGTGCTATAACTTGTTAAAATTCAGTAAAGATGCAAGGAGAGTTCTGCAAAGTTCGGGGAACTCAAAAAAGCAGTGCCTTGAATTATGCGGAGTTATTTTCCCCTGCATGCTGTGCATAGATGTGTTTGCTGAATACATGCTCCCGAATTCTGATTTTTATAGGAAATCAGGGAGAGAATATTAGTTTGAATATCTATGACTGTGATATTCAGTGAGCTGAGGATTGCTATGACAACCTAAAATTTTTTTAGGTGGATTAAATTTTTTTGTTCCAAAAAAGAATATGAATCCACTAATATTTTAGAATAATTTTATGTAAACTTAGCACGAGTAAGAAAATTTAGTGTGATAATCTTAGGGCAGGCTTGGAAAAGAACTTTCCTAATGTTCTGTGTGTAAGGCTTTCCCCATTTTCGGTTCATATGCTTTTTTTTTTTTTTTTTTTTGAAAAGAAGTCACTTAGGTAACTCAGCTCTCTGCTCTGATTCTGAGCCATGAAAGAGAAGAATGAAAATAGTACCAAACCTTAAAATAGCACTATCATAAAAATGAAACAATGAGTTAAGTTAACAAACTGTTGTAAATGTGATCGGTTGCTATTGGGCTGCAGCACACCTACTGAATTACCTGGAAATGTCACAGCGGCTGCAAAGACTGCATCCTGATTAATACCTAGACTAAACTGGGGGTAAGACATGAAGAGATGCTTACAAAGTGTCAGTGGCCAGTGACAGCAGCTCACCTATGGTTCTTCCCATTTCTCATTTAATGCTCAAAGTATTTTAAGATCTTCAGAGGCACAAACCCTAAGGCTTTAGGTTGGCAGGCATGCTTACACTGATCAGATGATAAGCACACACTAAATGACTATATCAGAATAGATTTTAAAAAGCGATTGAAATCATGGATATATAGTGTAAAAAAAGTCCATTGAATCTAATTAATTGTAGATAGAAAACATTTCAGAGTGAAAATTTAAAACAATATATGTAATATAGAAAGAAGACTTTTTGAACTATCTCATCTGGAATGCCAGATGACATTGAAAGAGGTTGCATCACCAGCAGAGTGTTGATGTAAAGGTTAAGGTTTGGAGGTAAGGGTCAGTGTACCCATTAACGTTGCCTAAAACTTCAGAAAACTAACAGAGGAAAAAAAACAGTTTTTAGACTTCTCTCTGGTTCCATATGCAACTAAATAGAAAGTTAGAATACTTAAAAGTTAAAAAAAGTGAAAATTACTAAGATGATAAATGGAATGCTAGACTGTGGCTGTGAGTCAGGAGTTTCAATGCCCGTAGGAAGCTTGGGGAAGGTATCTGGAAAGAGTTGTGGAATTTTTAAATAGATGGCTGATATACTTGAACATTTCTCAAGATTTGTAAAATGACTTCGACCATTAGGGGGCCTGAAACCTAGTAGTTATTGTGTAGTAAGAGAGAAAAACTTAAATTTTACAAATAGAACATGTTTATTCATTAAACATTATAAATCAGTTGTGAAAGAAAATATACTTAAACTCATACTTTGATAAAAACCTGGAAGCTGTAGTTCATTTGCAGATATCCATTGCTTTAAGTATCTTTTTATTTGACCATTTGTGAAGCCTGCACTCCCTTAAAGGTAGCAGGTGGGAGTGAGTGTGCTTTGCTGGCCACGCTGACTTAGCAATCAGGACCAGAGGGTGTCAGTGAAGGGCAGAGTGCTAGCTGTGCTAGCAAAGGTATCGTGGACTTTTCTTTACTTGTAGATATCAAAAGATATATTTTTGTAAAGATTAAAATGAAATCACAACAAGTTGTTTACATATGATATTGTGAAGATGACTTTGATACATAGAAGTCAGGAATGCTGAACACATTTTATAAGAGACATAAAGCCATGTCATCAAAAATTCTGTTCTAAAATTTTAACAAAGCTGAGATATTTGAATGACTGCAATTTATTTCATCCACAGCATCACACATACTTGACTACCTATTATTTTTAATCACCTGCGAAATATTTTTTGATACTGTTACTTGAAGATTGACAATTGATTTCTCCGAAAAGACATATGCATTTATGTGTTTAGACTCTCAAATTCTGGCATCAAAGGCTTATGTACATGCCTGTGTGCAGTAAGCCAATTTTGTGTTCTAAGATGATATTTTCCAGACTAGTGTTAAGGATATGCTAAGATGTTCCATGAACTTTTCAGCACTCTAGAGCAGGAGGGAGGCTGATTGGAAACTAAGAGCTGTCACCTCCCTGCGGGTCCATTTCCTGAGCCCCAGTGATTGATAAATCCACACTAGAGGCTGGTTCACTCTAAAACGTAATGAAGTTTATAAAACTCTTTAATAGTTAAATTTGGATTATGAACTTTTCTAATCTCCCTGCTGTTTCAGAGTATTGAATATTCCTGTGTATGTGATTAGTAGGTTATGATAAATAGGATTTATTATTTTTTCAATTAGTCTGAAACTTATTTTTTTTAATAAATGACTTCTATTAAAAGTCAATAAAATAAATTATACTGTTTTAGTGCAATGGCTATTAGGATAATTTTAAATGGCTTTAGTTGACATACACTCACCCTTTAAAACACCACGGATTACAATTAAATTAATCAAAATTATGTTTCCTGAATTAAAGTCATTGAACTTGCTTTTCCAAAACTATTTATAAAATTTACATAGTTTTACACACTAATTTCTTTTTGCCTAACTTAAATGTAGGTGATGTTTGCCACTATTGATCCCGTAACTTAAAATGCAAAATATTTGAGCATGTACTCTGAAGCATGTAGCCTCTGTCTGCCCGTGAAGCCCCTTCTGCACAGTTCAGAAAGCCGAGCATCTGGCCAAAGAACAGGAGTTTCTTTCTCCTCCACTGCAGGCAATGACACTCTTTAAAGTCTAGGAGACAGTGGTGTGGGTGTATCATCCATCACCACCTTTATCAATTGCAGCCTTTGTCTTCTTTAGTATGTTTCTTAATCTGAGAGCTTCCATCACTGCCATATTTTAAACAGTTCCAAATAGAGGGTCACTGGGTAACACTGAGTACATAGTTATGAAGCCGATTTCCCCTATGATTTTAAAATCAGTAATTCCCTCAAAATTCATAATGACCTGAAGAAAGAACCCAACAGTCTGCGTTACCATGTTTAAAATTTGTCAATGGACTTCTCTTAAGAAATTGACAACATCCTATGGTCCATGGCTGCCATCTGTAGTTCCAAATAGTCCACAACTCAGGATGTGCAAACTACAGAGATTGGGTCTTTTTAGAAGTGCAGTGGCCAGTTCATGTGAGTGTGTGTGTTTATACTAAGACAGATTAGTAATCCCTATGCATGTTAGGAAGTGTGAGCCTGCTTCTGTCTCCATCATGATGGGAACTGTGAAGTTTATCTGAATTATAGGTAGCTTGATTTGGGGCCAGGATGGTGATGAAAGGGATAAATTATCTGACCCATAAAAAGGTTTCTTTACCGTTAGATATAAAAGTCTTATTACATATACAAACCTGACAGGAGAGTAAGAATCCACTGCTCTTATTATCTTTGTAGATGTTTTCTTCCACTCCCATCCCATAATAACTTCAGCATAAAAGGTTTAAGATGAGAAATCTGCTAATTACATTGGTGGTCAAGGTGGAACAAAACATTACTACTGTGAATTACTAATTAATAATTACTAATTAGTAATTAATAATTACTAATATTAGTAGTAATATTAATACTAATATTCTACTACTGAATATTAGTAGAAATATTCAGTAGGAGTTAAAACAGCAGATATGTTTTCTTGACAAGATCTAGAAATACTTCCTCATCTCCCCAAATGTCCCTAATCACTCCCATTTGTACATGTTGTCACTGATGTTGACAGGAACTAAGTGATAAATGGGCAATTTCATGAGAAATATAGTTTCCAATTTATTAAATTTCATCTACAGCTTTGCATGTATTGAGTTTCACATTAACAAGTTTCCTTTCATTAAAAAGACATTCTTATTTAAACCAAAGGTAAACATAACAGTAGGAGAATGTTGGGGATCTGTTGGAACTCAACCAGGATCTCTCATGGGGTTTTCTACAAGAATTCCTTTTCAATGATGCAGTATTTGCTGAGATACTATTGTACCTCAGACTTTGACATTGCTGAATTATGCACAAACTTATTGGTATTTAAAATTAATATTAATGAGAAGGCATAGTGGGTGGTGACAGGAATTTTTAAACTAATCCTTATATTGCTGGGAAATCATTTTTGTTTAGGTAACATTTCATCTGCATTAAATGTTACAAGGTTCATTGGGCCACTGAACTGATTTAAGTGTCCTGAGCTATCTCTGAGAACTTATAAAACATTCCCTGTTTAAATCAGACAGGTTTGCCTTTTGAATTATTTAACTATTTTGAAATATAACTCTTCAAATTCTTTACCAAATTAGCTTTACTATATCTCCTATGATCCAACAAAATATGAAATAATTTGTTAGTGATCATTTTATTTTATATTAATGTTTTCAGCAAGAATTACTCCAGGTTATAGCCTTGTAAGGGATCTGGAGCCTGCATCC